AGGTATTCCCTTGTCACCAACGCAGCGTTGCAATCTCGGTTGTAGTTTCACCACCGTAAGCCAAGCTCACTAATGATTGCATCATGCATTTCGTTGATCCATATTTCGGACGCAGTGGAGCTTCTGACCGCCCGCAGTTCTGTATCGGGCAGAGCAAACCCGATGTTTGACATACTTGCATTACGGATATTCGCGTTTCTATATCAAATCCAATTTCCGGTTATAAATGCTTAGGCGCGCGTGGCAGTTCTTCCGCATGCACGGATTACAGGTAAGGTGTCTCTCGGATTAGTTGTCATAGCTACTGCGCCGGAGACCAGCAAGAAGCCTTAAACCAAGCCAGACATTTTGGTGGCGGTTTGTTAACACTCATCTAACAAAGGTATGTGCCATGAAATGTGCGGGAATCAAATGGTCCGTCATTAATCCACACCTTGCGACTTTCAGGACAAAAGGTCAAAAGGTTGTGAATATCTAATTAGTGTTGTTAACATGGTTTAATCGAACCCGACAGATCATGTGATCATATCATTGAGGCGAAAGTTGACAAAATTAGCTGACAAACAGTTAGATTAGTATGATCTATGCGATCGATTGCGCCTGACAAATTTATCTCTTCACACTGTTTTCTGCCTGTACAAAATCCCCCACGCCTGACGATTCTGGAGCCGAAGCGAATCTTTTCAGTGCACACGGAATAAGGACGTTCGCTACTTGTCTGAGCCGTGAAAACGTGAACGCTTTAAGTCAAAGGATTTGGGTTGATTTCGAAGACGAAATGAGTGATGGCATGATCCTCAAAATCCACGAATAAACCCGATTTGATTGTGTGTGTGATACTTAATTCTGGAAGTATGAACTCGGACCGCGTTTTGTATATGCAATACAAACCGTCTGCTACTACTTCTTCCGTCGTGAAAGTGGGATCACTTTAAACAAAAACGATCGGTTTCGGATAGAAAAAGACCAAGGCCATGTTTGCGTTTCTACTGCCCAAACTGCAATCTGTTTGCTGAATTTGGTTGCAATATGCAAGTGTCATAGAGTGGTATGCGGCTTGTATAACTGTACTGTTTCAACTGTTCTCTGCCTGATGCGCTGGAGCTCATTCGTGTTTGTCTAATTCCACTGTGGAAACTCTCATGCCAGAAAGAAAATTGGATTAGCAAACGAGTTCTTCTTGCGGCCAACTGTCACACGAAGCCTCAGCTTGTATCGTTAAACCTATTTGTGTCATATTCGTCGGTTGTGTCGTATCCATGAGCTGTTGCTGTCGGTGCACTTAAGCACCCGTGACCCCGACTACCAGGTTATCAGACGTTCTGCTTGACCTCATGTCTTCATTCACGAGTCAAACAGACCCACACAAAATGCTCTGTACCGAACAATCGTCGACTGTTCGTCTGAGAGTAGTTGCTTTTGCGTATGGAGCTCGCTAAATAAATAAGTTAATTTCGGTCCTCAACTCTCTGGAACCCTATACAGTTACGTGTTCCAAAGTGTGATTCTCTATCGTCCGTCATTCCTACAGCCAAACTTTCTGCAAGACCATGCCCTTCCACTGCTTCGTTAATTACTGCAAATGTTGAGCGTTTTTACGGGTGGCAGAGCTGTTAACCGTGCTCAAATAGGATTGATTTGAGTGTAAACTAAGTCTCACTGATACCAGTAGGTTCCCTTCGTTTGATCCTCCTGTAACCCACCAAAGGGCAAACGTTTATACATGAAGTTGTAGCTCGTCTGTGCGTATTCTACCCGTGTTCCTCATTCTCCCCTATCCACTGTACATTTGATCATCGACAGTTTTTGCGCGCAGTCTCTCTGGATGATCAGCCTCTGGTTTGGTGGAAAGGATTTCGCTGTTTAGATCGTCTCGTCAATACCGGCATACTTTGGATTCCCTATCATTTGCGCGGTGACCGGATAACATCCAACTCAAGCGGTGGTTTCGATTCAGTCTACTTGATTGACTGGACAGGTAGGTTCAATGAAAATGCTGTCTCACATTCACATTTGATGTCTTTTATGAATGTTTCGATAACGGTAAGTGCCATCGGGAGATGATGCTTATCCCCCGAAAATACCTCCAGTAGTATGTACGTATGTGCCTGTCTGTCACAATATCGGGCGGTGGTGGTCCGGTGGTAACGTCACAAAATTATCACCCCGGGAATGTGTTCGAACACCACCACCACCGCCTGATTTCCCCCAGTGTGTGTTGAATGGCAGCCCTTTAATTGGTCGCTTCCCCCTTCCTGAAAATTGTATCTTTGTATATTCAATAAAAGGAAGTAAAATGAAAACAAAGAAAAGAAGAATAAGTTCAGTGTCCTGGATCGGCACATTCCCTCGGAAAGGCACATGAATCATACGCATGAATATTGACCCCCCCACCCTTCTTCAACCCTCTTCCCTTACCCCGCTGCAGTTCAATCAATGATTTTGAAAGGGTTTAAGGTGTATCCGCGATCTTAAGCCGCGCATCAATAGAGACGCCTTATTGGGTAACAGTCTCAGTTTTAGTTGCCCAAATGGGGGCATGAGACTTCCCGATGTGATATCCTTCTCGGCAGCCCACACCAATAAAAAGGTTCAACTTTAGAAATCCAACTGCAGGTTTAAACCCATGAATCACATTCACAAGACAACGGGACGTGAGTTCAACGCAGAGACGTGACCAAAACGTTAACCGAGGCTTTCGGGATCCGGTTGGGTCTTTTTGATTGGTAAATCGCTGGAGTGAACTCTCTAATGGCGGAGGTGGATAGAATGTGGCCAGACGGTTCCCAATCAGCTGACCTTATGGGACTGAGCTTTGTCTGGTCTCTCCACTCATTGACCTTTCAGGCTTAATTGTACCAACGGCCTTGAGGAATCATCGTGTCTAGTTCCAAGGCTGATAGAGGCATACAAACCATCACACCCCGTCGAAATAGCGTCGTTGTTTGGTCTGTCAGAACATGGCCTGCATTATCGGAAAAAGACGCACTCTGTGTTGGGCAATGTGAATTTTTAGTCAGAACATCGTGTGACCTTGCTATTGCACCCCTTGCACAAGTTCAGATTAAATATCACCCGCCTATCTGAGGTGCCGTTGTCTCTACAAG